TTTTACCAACGAAAAGTGGGATTGACCGTCACATTATAACGCCCCCACGGCTGAAAGGGCGAGCATGTTTGGTGGGACGTGGAAGCCATGCCGGGCCTAAAGAACACTGAAAGAAAGAATTATATTTAGGTAACAAAAACGGAGTAAAAAGTTAGCCGAATTACTGTCCTTATAGTAATTAATATCAAATGTAAAATAATAACATTTATTAGTGTTATCTACTTTTGTTTATTCAAGAATAGCTAAAAGTTTGTCTATACACTAGTGAAACTATAGATCACATAACATTTATCTACTGCATTATATTCACAATGGATAATAAACAATTTTCGCAATAAGTAATCACTTAACACACCTGATACTACTTTATTTAGCAACAGATACTGAGACCCTAATTGTAAAATAAATATCAAGAGACGAGGTATAGTTTATCCATCGTTGAGTGAGTATGATTCTCTCACTGAATATCACACCCGTTTTTGGTTTATATTTAATAAGAAAAAGCTTACACTGAACCTAAGGGTTTTCTCCTATCAAGTTTTACATTACCTGCTGTTCATCCAACAGTAAATGATAGGGTTGTACATAGAGTTGGACATGGCGAGCCAGTAAATTGCCAAGTAAATATGTTGTACATTGTCAGAGCTAATGATCTCCGGGTGATGGTGAGCTATCAAGAAGTAGATGTGATAGGGCAACCAGCAAACAGCGAAGATAAAAACTACGACGATCATCATCTTCACAATCTAAAACAAAACACAATTTAGGAGACTGTTAGAACTTTATAACGAAAAAAAGTTATGATAAATTATGGAGTTTTTTTTTAATCTGTACATTTCAGAGTTTCTGTAGAAACAAGTACAAAGTATGAAGGACATATATTGTAAATATTTTATTTCTGTGCACGTGATACAAATATTCGTGTGTTTTTTTCTTTCCTTCCTACGTGCCACACCTTTACTCAAAATGAAACGATAAATGAGTCATTGGTAACAGAAAATATGATCCTGAGATTAGAACTATGAAACTATAAATGAGTCATTGGTAACAGAAAATATGATCCTGATGTTAGAACTATAAAACTATAAATGAGTCATTGGT